GGAAGGGGGAGAGGAGAAGGGGGGGGAGAGGGGGAGAGAGAGTTGTTCCACTTATTCATGCATTCATTGGTTGATTCTTGCATTTGCCCTGACAGGGGATCAAACCCACAACACTGGCGTACCAGGATGACACACCAAGTAACTGAGCTACCCATCCAGGGCAACATTAATTCTTAAAGTCAATCCATCTTAAAGTTTATCAAGAGACCATCAAATTCAACTTCACACCCACTCAGGATGGTCATTCAGAAACTGTGAATTTCATATTTTAAAAAATAGGTTATTCATATGATAAACTGCTCTACATATAAGGATATTTTTTCCAATTCTGAGCAAAGAAAATCCGTCTTCTGTAGTTTTGGACCTATCTTTACCCACTGGAGCAACACAACTTAGCCAAATGAAGAAATTCTTCATTTCTCTTTTATAATCTGAGCTACTTCTATAATGACAGTTTTCAGGTACCTTCCTATCATTGGTGTTGGCTGACCTTTTCTGAATGTGTTCCAATATATTAACATCCTCAGAGTTGAACAGAGTACATTAGCAGTATAATCTTAATCTTGATCCCATGCTAATTAATTATAGCCAAAGTCTATATATCAAGTGTCTGAAATAATGTAAAAAGTGACTATTTAATAGATATGATAATTTCTTTATTCTTTCAGTTGATAAAATAATCTATTTTTTATATCTTTAAAACACCATCTATATTACTCATATACTAAGATAAACCTTTAAGTAATTGCAAATTTCCCTTCTATATGCTTCTGTATTTTTTAAAAAGTGATACTGTTGCTACATTTAAAAAATATATTTTCAATATTCTTTAGGGCTTTTTCTCTTCATCTTCCTCATTTTTACCCTTTAACTTAAAAGGCCCTTAAAAAAAAGTACTAAGGGGATAATCACCAATTCAATGAAATATGTTTATGAAATCTGGAACATGACTGGTTGTTACAGCAAACATTAGTGAAATCTAAATGTTTAGGAACAAACAGAACTCCTCAGTGCCAAATCTATGCCCAGGTCTATCACATAACCTGAAAAATGTGCAGAAATCTCAATATGTACAAACCACCATCGGTACATAAACTCCCTTTCAAGCTTAAATATTTATTTTCCTAGTAAGATTAAAAAAAAATTTAATTCTTCAACTATCCTTAATTTGGAATATGTTCTCTGACATACCTTCAGTATCAAAACAGAGAGAGTTGATGAAACTTTTGTGAGTGTCAAACTGTCGGATCAATATGGCAGGGTCCTCTTTCATATCAACTTTCCATATCCGGATCACAGAATCATAGCATCCTGTAACCACAAGCTCTTTCACAGCTGGATGGAATTTAGCCGTGTAAACAAAACAAGGATGAGGTAAAACTCTGAAAGTATGTGTATTGTTTATTTCATTTTTCCATATCCTGGAAAGGATAAAAAATTACATATTGCTTACGAAAGGCACAAGTTTCTCAAAAGGTTCTCTAAGAACCAATACAGCCAATTGAATGTAAGTAAGCAAGTGACAATGGTAAACTAAATTTAAATTTTATAACTAAAATTAATCTAATCACATATTCGATGGCTAGGGTTCTTTACATTTGTCAAAGCTATTTTCTTACAATTATTATCAAGCATAATGGTTAATTTGTTTACTAATTATAACCTATACCATCAAATGAAATACTGTATTTGTATATGTCTGTCATTTTTAAATTTACCTACTTTTGACATTGATTAAACAAACACACATCAAATGGTTGGTAAAATATTGCATTTAGTACAATATACATAAAAATAAGGTGCAGGAGAAACTTTAATGATTTCCCATTTAAGCTGTGTATACGGCTTTTGCAAAGTACTTACGAGTGGAGGGTTAAAGGATAGGATACTTTATTAAATTCCTATTAGTAACTTCAAAGCCTAGATAATAAACATGAAGATCTCAAAGACTTAAAGAAAAGCCATAATGAAATTACTATATAAATACTTGAGTAAAATAAGATTAAAATAATTATTATATTTTGTTAGAAAACAGACAATCCAATATTAAGCACTGGCTTTGTGTTTAACACTCTCATTATCTCTACCTCTAAATAATGGATGATTTTAAAAAATTAGTAATATTGTCATTGCTATAGTCTTGAAAAAAGAGTCAACCCCATAAGTATTAAACTGTTATGTTTCTAGTCAATGTGTAAAAACAGGTAAAATCTAGGAATAAACAGGTGTTGTATGAGTACGGAATGTTGGATTTTTCAAAGTTTAAGTATTAAAATTTGAAGAATACATTAATCTTTTAATATGGGGATTTATAATTCATCCTTTTAATTACTGCCTAAGAACTAAAGAAAATTAAGCCCTTTAAAAAATTATCAATAAAAGGAAAAAATACAGTTGCTACTCAAGAATAACATTGTATGAGTTTTCTTAGCAGCTGCTTAAAATACAAAGTATGACCTTCAATTACTAAGAATCCAAACTAATAATGAAGGAAGTGAAAGAACATGTTTTCAAGTAAAAATAAAGAATGTGTGTCCAAGCATAAACATTTAACCATAGTAATACTTTCAATGAACACATGTCACATGAAATATAGTATTTATTGAAAGAATAAAATCACTAATTTACTTAGGGGCTATTTTAATAGGATTGTTAAAAGATAAAAACTTCAGTTGCTTGCTAATAAATCTTAGCAACATTATTTGAAATATAGGCACAAATGAAGCTGTCATATTTTAAAAACAGCTCAATAAATTAAAAGACACAACATTTTAAAATAAAAATGAAGCTTTTTATAAAGGTGAAAACAAAGCTGGTATCAATAGCAGCTTCAGTAACCCAACCAATGGTAGAATCCAGGATGAAAACAGATCTATTAATGGGTTTTGGTAGAAAAGGCTCATCACAGACAGAAAAGGAGGACACACAAATCCGTAAAGACCAGATATCTGCACAAACACCTTACCAGAACTGGACAAGGAAAACCATACCGAAGTTAAAACAGGATGTGAAGAGGAGGTGAGCCTACTTGGGAGCCATTACACATGGAAAAATCTTTATTATTATATTGAAGAGCTGCTGATTTGAGAAAAATACAGATTACACTGAAGATAACTTAAAAAGGAGATTTAGGTTAAATTCTTATGGCAGAGAGCTAACCAGTAGGACACAGTTACTTGGGAAGCACGACTGATACCATGTGACAGTGATCCCGAAGACGACAGAAGGAGAAGAGAGGGCAGAAACCCACACATCTGCCACTTTCAAGCATCAGCAACTCTAATTCTCTTCCCTTTGACCTTGGTCTATTCATTGTAAGTATCCCTTTCCTCTTTCAAAACTCCACTGCCTCCTGGTTCTAGCCACCATGTTTCTTTCTTCACTCAGTTAATCCTTCACTATAATATTTTCATGATGTAAAGAGTCCTCAATTAGTATCAATTTCAAAGCTACATAAAGAAAAAAGCTTACTTTAAAGGAAAAGGCTTACTTTACTACAATATATTATATGTTGTATGTGGAAATCCAAGATGGCTTCAAGAAATGCTGAAATCTAAGCTGGGTTTTGAATGACTAGGAGCCCACCATGGCTCACAAAGGCATTGAAATGTTTACTGAGTGAATGAGTTGGGCAGGAAGGGCACTGAAGCACAGGAAGAACAGGTAAAGTAACAGGGCACGGAGATGCCAAAGAAGATGTTAATGGTTATTTCACAAGATCGTGCGGATGAGGCAGGGGTACATGGAAGTGCACTGAGAGGAATGTAACGCCACTGAGGGACATCCTGTCATGCCATGCTAAGGAACTGGAACATACTCCAAAGGGCAGTGGTAATCAAAGACTGTTTGAAATCAAGGCATTATGAAAGATGGTTTCGGAGGAGGCTAGAGCTAACAAGGGCTTGAATTAAGGCAATAGCAGTGATGATAGAATGGTGAGCCTTTTAGGAGAGAGAATTGAGAGACTTTAGTACTACTTAGATGTAGAAATAAATGGTGGAAAGAAAAGATGAGTATGATTCGTGAGCCCCAGCCTGGGAGATAGGGTGGATAAGTCTGTCATCAAAAAACACAGTACAAGAGGATTAAAAGAGGAGGACAGAGTTTGGTAACTTCGGTAAGTTTGGTTTTGGACTTGAGGTGCCATTAGACTAGACAATCCAGAAAGAAGTGTGTAATAAAGTCAAACTCAGAAAAAAGTGGGAGCTAGAAGTCAGTAGTATACAAGTGAGATTCAAAGTCAGGGAAGATGAAAAGACCCAGGATAAGCACATCAAACCAGGGAAGACAATCGAGTAAAGAATCTTGACTATAAACATCTACAGAGAATAGACAGAGGAAAGGAACGAAAGAAAGAGAGTGAGAGAGTCCTAAAAAGAAAAAGAAAGGTGTCAATAAAAACCATAAACTGAAAAGATTTCAAGACTGGTCAATAATTAAATACTGCAGGTGAAGGCAAACAGGGTAAGAACTAAAACCGGCCAATGAATCTGAAAATTAGCAAGCAACTGCTGACCTCTTGAAGAACGTTTATATAGCATGGTGGGAGCAAAAACCAGACTAGCTGGGTTTAAGCAAAGACAGTTGGGTCCAGGATGCTCTTGATGATGTAGAAAGAAAAGTGATGTGCTAGTTGGAAGGCAGAGAGAGTAGAGAAAAAGATTTTTTAAAGATAAGATTTGAGCACACAGTTGACCCTTGAACAAAATGAGTTTGAACTGCGATGGTCCACTTCAATGTGCATTTTTAAACTGTATTTTAAAACTATTTTCAATCCGTGGCTGGAAAGCACATATGCTGTATTTCTAAGATGAGAGCACAAAATCAACAGAGAAAGATATTAAAGAGTCAAGAGGTATAGGAAATAGAAATTAACAGAATTGTAGATTAAAGGAATGAGATTAAAGGCACAGGTCAAAGATTAGTGTTAAAGGTGTCTGTACCCATACCTCTTTGTTAAGAAAGATGGACAGAGATAAAGATGGGTAAATTTACAGATATTAGATGAGAAACTAGACAGAAATATAGGAAGTTCATGTCTGGCTAAATTTCACTCTAAATTGAAGGCAATCATCTAATGAAAGTGGGAAGGTTATGATTTAGTGCAGAGAACTTGAAGCATGGTAAGGCTTAGATTTGCTGCCAGAGGGATGAGAAAGGATAGCTGAACAAAGATGATTAGAAGGACTGATCAGCAGAGATGAGAACTCAGGAGATTTTCATACTGACAAATCCATAGTCAGGTCTTAGAAAGGTTATGTATTTTACTCTAGCATAACCTGGCATCCAACAGAATTGCTATTCCATTCTTGAGAATATTGGGGGTTTTGGTGTGTTTTTTTTTAAAGATGAATCATGACTTTTTTACTTTATTTATTTATTTTTGTATTGATTTCAGAGAGGGAGAGGGGGGAGGGGGAGGGGGAGAGAGAAACATCAATGATGAGAGTCATTGATCCACTGCCTCCTGCACGCCCCCTGCTGGGGATGAAGCCCAAAAGCTGGGCATGTGCCCTGACCAGGAATCAAACCACGATCTCCTGGATCATAGGTCAATGCTCAATTGTTGAGCCATGCCAGTTGGGCGAGGATACTGTTATGAGGGACTAATAGTAGATTCCCAGCTAGATACAGAGGTAAATCAATTGTCACCAGTTGTTGTCTCTTTCATTTATATATAAACTAAACAGTAATAACAACCTAATCAATTAGTCATGTTAATATTGAAAAGGAAGCTGATAAGATTAAGAGAAAAAGGGACCCAGACAACAGAAATATCTATAAAAAACTGTGTTTAAAAGAACAGGAAACATAAGAAAGAATGAAATCACAGTGGATCTCAAACTGCTCTAAATGTCAGCATCCTAGGCTGTAGAGATAATAAAAACCATTTGTTGGAATCAAACTTAAAGGACCTATATAAAAGCATCTTAAACAACTGCCTAATAATATTTTTAGAATACATGCAAGGTAGATCAAGCAGCTACAAAAAACGTAAATGAAATTTTAAAAAGTAGCTCTTAAAATATTTTATTGTGACACTTATTAAACTGAAAGGGGTTAGGACTCACATTTGGAAAAATACAAATATCTGACAATCTATAAAGCTCTTAAAACATAGGTTCATATCCATTTATTTACCCTACACTATGTACTGTGTCCTGGCCTCTGCATCCAGCTAAGAGTGAAGATGGAATCCCTGCCAGCAAAAGCTCATATTCTAGGAAAAACCTCATCTCAAAGTATTAATCAAACAGTGTACATAATGATCATTTAAAGACAGTGAGGACTCGAAATATTATATATTACATAAATAAAATATATTTTACATATATGTCTTCAAGAAAATTTTTTCACGACGACCTATTTAATCAGTCAGTCTGATGCTATTTATGCCAGTCCCTTGATAAGCAGAACAGAACTGAGGCATAAGAGTAGTGCTATCACTTCATAGTCTCTTTGCTTTCCTTGATGGCAAACAGCGTACTTCTCCAATATACCAACCTGGCAGTGCCATCAGACGATGCAGTAAGGATATAGCGATCATCTTTCGACCAGCAAAGATCATAAATAATATTGAGGTGGCCACACAATTCTCTCATGAAACGTCCAGAAGGAATTTCGTATACTAATGAAAATATTAAAAAATTAGTAGGTTTCCAGACAGAGGATCCTTAATACAGTAAGACACAAATTAACAATTTATAATAATGTGTACATGAAGTAAGCACTGTCTATAAGAATACCACCAAAGATTTTCAGTATAAAAAATTTCAAAATCTACTTAAATTGTTTTTCAATTGCCTTAGACAAAAAAATTTACACACATAAAATTTTATAATATACTACAATTAACAATTATTCTAATTTCTTCAAAGCAATTTTCCTAATAATCTTTGATAGTCAATTAATTAATCAAATAATAAATAACATTTAAATTGCTGTTCAGTTCAAAGATTCTATAATTTGGGCTTTCATTAAAGAGGTATTATTTCACCTGAAAACTGATTAAATTCTAACCAAGATTTTATTTGCAGTAACAAGAAATTGAAACTTCACTACTTTCAGAAAAAATTTCTAATACTAAAAATTATAGATTTAGTAAAGGAATTAACAGAGACCCAATCTGATACAGTACAGTATTGCTATATTATTGTATACAATAAAATCATCTAAGACAGCGATTTTCAACCTTTTTCATCTCATGGTACCCAGAAACTAATTACTAAAATTCCGCAGCACACCAAAAAGACATATTTTTGTCGATCTAACAAAAAAACAAGGTATAATTTTGATTCATTCACACTGGACTGCTATTAACAAATGACTACTGTCATTTTTCAATTTGACAATCTAAGAAAAAAGAGGTCAGTGCCCTTGACTAAACAGTCAGGTACTGCATGTTTTAAAAATTCTTGTGGTACACCAGTGTGCCTCTTGCAGCACACCAGTTAAAAATCACTGATCTAAGATAATGACTTAACAGAACAAAGTTTCCAAGTCTCTACTTCCACCTAGTGGTCAAACTAATTGCCTTTAAAATACCTGTACTAAGCGGTACAGAAGTACTCCTGACATAAGCAAAATAAGAACCTCAAAAAATCTGCTCCCTCATAAAAGCAATGAGACCACTGGAAAAAACTGGAAAAATTAACTTATCAGAGCTCTGTAAATTAAACAAAGGTATGCAACAGTCTGAAGGGGATTTATTCAAGAAAAATAGTTGAATCTCGGTAAGAACATTGAGTTCTGTGGTATTTTAACTTGCCTTGTTTCCTCCCATTCCCCTCTCCCAAGCACCAAAGTATCCTTAAAAACCAACTGCCTTGCAACTGCAATGAAAACCAGCAGCCTAGCAGTCATGGGATGGGGTAGAAGAGGTCTGAAGTCCCAAAAGCCCCAACCCCGAGGTGTCACTATTAGACATTCTGGCAGCTCCCTGAAAAGCTCCTTTCTCAGGACTGGCTTCATCTGAACTGCCCTAACCCCAGGTACATGTCAACTCCAACATATTCCTGGGAATCTAGGACATATGCTCCTGAAAGGCTGTGTGAGTGCCCAATAAAGACCTAGAGATCCTATCTCTCACTCTGGCTGACCTGAGGGTGCTCTGCGCAAACAGAAGGTGGAGACTAAGGCTGAAGCATTGAAATGTATCCCAGTAGGACACTTACACAGCCCCTCAGCAAACGCTGCTCCCAGCCCTATTCACTCAAGGCATTTAAAAAAATCTCTCTTTAACCATTAGTTGACTACTAAACCAACCAAGCAAAGACTTCAGTGGCAACACATGACAAAGGCAAAAGACTACAGAATTAGTCCAGGAAAGCCACTAAACAAACAAAACCACCACATATCCTGATTGGCTAGGTAGAGTGTGGGGAAGAAGGGGAACCGGATTTCCAGAGCTGCCACATTTCAATATTTCAAATACCTAGTTTTGAACTTAAAATTATGGAGACCTGAAAAAACAAAACAAAACAAAACAAAACAAAACAAAACAAAACAAAACAAAACAAAACAAAACAAAACAAAACAAAACAGAAAAGTATGACCATACACAGCGAAAAAAGCAGTCAATAGAAACTGTTCATGAGGAAGCCTAACATTAGTATTCCTAGACAAAGACTTTAAATCCACTCTTAAAAATATGTTCAAAGATCTAAAGAAAACATGTCTAAAGAATTAAGGTGTGAAAATTTCTCACCAATAAAGCGGCAGAAATTATAAAGAAAAAGAACAGGAATTCTAGAATAGAAACGTACAATAACTAAAATAAACAGTTTACGAAGAGGGGCTCAACAGATTTGAACTGGCAGAAGAAAAAGGACTTGAGGACAAGTCAATCGAGATTATGCAGTTTAAGGGAAAGAAAAGACGTGAAGAAAAATGAATAAAAAGCTGCAGAGACCTGTGGACACCATCAAGTGTACCAACCCAGAAATGACAGGAGTCCCTGGAAGAAGAGAAGAAATAGAAAAAGGCAGAAAGAACATTTGAAGAAATAAAAGCAAAAATCTTCCTAAATTTGTGAAAAACATTAATCTGCACATCCTACAAGCTAACAAATTCCAAGTAGACACATTATAATCAACAAAAATCAAAAAGATTCTTCTTCTGTATTTGAAGATTTAAGCATAAGTGAAGCTAAATTTATAGAGCACTTTGAACAAGATTTTAAAAGCATAAAGTGGCACATATTTACCAGAGAAATGTTAAAAACATGTAAATCAAAATGAAAATAATTCTTTCACCACAAAGAATGAAATCACTATTAATATTCTGGAGTATGTTTTCTAAGAATCTTTTTCTCCCCCTATACACAGGTTTTGGTGACTTTTAAAAATAGTATGGCTGTAAATCAAGCTATACAAATAATTCTGTACTTTTTAAAGCTAAAATTACTTCATAAGGAAGAATATTTATTTAGTAAATGCTAATCAAGCCAACTCTAAGTACCTGCTGAAAAAAAGCAAATCAATGAAGATAACTGTGCGAAGCTGAGGAAAGTTCAAGAGGTTCTAGTGCTTAGGACGGATGCCCAAGAGGAGCTGAGGCAAGCTGGTTTCCATTACTAAGCAAGAAGGGAAGGCAGTAATGCCTCCAAGTCTAGAAGAGTATGATAATACTCATTTATTTTTAAAAAGTCTCTGAAGAGATACAGAAATAATTTTTCTTTTTAACACAGTTTCCTATGTTTTTTAAAGGCAGACTGAGAGGGGTTTTTGGCCTCTCTGCTGACTTCTCTATCATAATAGAAGTCTTAATTCAGGTCCTCCGGAGCCAATTATTATTGTTCTAATGCACAACAAATGTGTGGGCTTTCATAAATTATCACTGCTATTTACCGACCGCAGTGGACTGAAATTCCTCCTGAGATTTATTACCCTTCCGGTTCTCAATTTCTATTATTTACTTACTTACTTACTTACTTATTTATTTATTTATTATTTAATTTACCTTTATTGTTGAAAGTATTACAGATGTTCCCCCTTTTTCCCCATTGACCCCTTCTACCCTGCACCCATCCCCCGCCCCAGGCTTTCACCACACTATTGTCTGTGATAAAAAATGCTTACAAAAATCCTCCTGCATGTTTTAATAATAATTTACCATCCTTCAGTCTACATATTGTATAGAAAAGTGTAAAATTATTAAAACATATGGTATAGAAAAGTGTAACATTATTAAAAAGAACTCTTTACCTGAAGAAATCTATTTAAGTTAGTATTGCTGGGGGATTATTCAAATTAAAATTTCAATGAATGTTAAAAACCAAAGAATGTCTTCCACAAAGACTTCAATCAAATTAAACAAAGAGGATTATTACTCACAAATAACTGGATATCCATCTCGGCTGGCACAAGCTGCTGCTAATATTCTTCCATTGTGAGAGAAAGACAGACAAAAACATCCTCTTTCTCCGGCATTCAGTGAGAATAGGTGCTTGTTTGGGATGCGGCAAGCCTAAAGGAACAACATTTTAAAAACAAATTAAGAAACATAAAAATATGAAGGCTAGTTGTTAATTTCCATTACTGTAGTTGGTTATTTTGAAGTCTCTTTACAGTGATGAGAGGAAGAAAAAAGCAGGTGAGCAGAATGATGAAAAACCATAGTAATTTATTTTACTTTCTAAAGAGAAAATCAGTTCTCCATAAAATTAAGTGAATTTATACTCCATATCTGACTAATACTTAATTCACCTAAAATATGAGCAGAACATTTCAATATCTGATACTCCAAAGCTGTCACTACCATAAACTTTTATATGACCACAAAAAAAATGTATGTCACACCCTCCCTTATTCCATGACAGCTGCTAATACGTGATTATTTGCTGAGCCATAAACTTGTTCTGAGACCATAAGCACCCTTCAGGGCCTAGCTTAAGCCCAGGATGTATAACTATTCATTCTCTCCATTTCTCTCTTAAAATAACCATCATTGGTGGCTACCTTCCAAAATGTATTTTCAAAGTAATGAACCACTTCTTATTGGTTTCTGATTCACTAATTTTATTAAAATTTCTTCATTAATTTTTATGTTTTCATTCCCTATTACCAGATGAAACTGAAATTTTTCATGTATTCATATCTACTGTAGAAAACATTACTTTTATTTGTTCTAATTGTACCTCTTCCAAACTTCAGTGAGCCTTAGTTCCTGTGTTTCTTACTATTCTAAAAGTTCAATTAAGCATATTGGGCCCTTACTATTTTGCCAAGGATGTGGTACTTTATGTTTTCATATATTCATCGAAGCAACTCTATGAGTAACCATTATTACTATATATAGCTAATAAGGATTATTCAGAAGGTCAAGGCCAGCTTAATGAACCTGATCAAAGACTATTAGTTCAAGGGCCTACATTCTAGATAGGTACCAGGTTTTTCAAAAGTAGCATCGAGATTTAGCAGCATTATGAGGAGGCAGCGAATGAGAGGCACTCTATCATTACTTGTCAAACGAATTATTGGAAAGACAATATTGTGATTAAAAACAAGAATAATCTGCAAGTTTTAAACAGCAATCTAGTTACCCTCGGAGTTGTTGGAGTGTTTAAATAAGTAAATATCTAAATGAATTCACCTGCCCAGGCAGTCGTTTCCACTTTACTACTTCCTTTGAATCTTCTAATCCAGGTTCTGTATCTACTGAACTCGATTCCTGGTGTTGTTCACAATATGCTGGTTTACCTTTTTCCTCCTGAAGAGCCATCACAGATCGGTAAGATGGCTTTATCTAAATATGTATAGAAAAATGAGAAAAATAGATACCTTGTTAATTTTTTTTCTCTTTTCTAGCACAGATGGTTTTTAAAATATTGAAACAAACAATAATGGAGATGTTTTCAAAATGTAATCTAGAAAAAACTCTACTTTTATTTGTTTATTATTCTAAATAAAATTAAAGTTGCTTGAAATTATTGTCCTATAACCAAAAAGCCTTAGAAGTTGGGAGAAAAAAACAGAACTTGAATGGTAACATGAAATTGTTTTAATATCTGTCCCTTTGTTTCTGTCTCTTCACCAACACCTACCGATGTCATGTCATGGCTCTGATATACTACGGTATCTCTGGCTTTAATAACACAAAACTGATATCATTAAGAGCTAAAGTCTTTTAAATCTTTCATTTCTTAAAAAACATTTAACTCCACTCAAATCAATGCAAACCAACTCTGTAGTAGCAGTTAGTATATCAACTATAGAATATGCAACTGACCTGAAATGAATTATAGCAAGATGAAAGCAAAAATTTCTGCTCATTTTAGGACATATTCTTTGCTAAGATTATTATAATTTTAATCTATGGAAAACAGCAGTAGAAATATTATTTACTATTTAAATAATATTGTAAAAAATATGACTGTAAATCATGTCTGCAAACTATGGCCCAGGCCAAATCTAGTCTGCTGTTTTTGTAAATAAAGTTTTATTGGGACATAATTTCAAACTGTTTTGTTATCACCTATATATGTCTATGTAGCTACCTTCACACTACAAAGGCAAAGTCCAATAACTGCAACACAGAGTATATAGACTGAATAGCTTCAAATGTTAACTATCTCATCCTTTATGAACAATATTTGTTAACTCCTGCTTTACATCATTTTATCATCTTTAATTTTTAAAAATCAGTATTATTACCCTGGCCAGGCGGCTCAGTTGGTTGGAGTGTCATCCTGTACACCAAAAGATTGTGGGTTTGATCCCCGGTTGGGGAGTTTACAGGAGGCAAACCACAGATGGTTCTCTCTCACATCAATGTTTCTCTCTCTTGCTCTCTCCCTTCTTCTCTCTCTAAAATCAATAAAAAACAACAAACAACAACAAAAACTATATCCTCAGGTAAGGATTAAAAACAAACAAGCAAGCAAACAAATAAAACAGTACTATTTAAAAAAAATTTTCCCTAACAATGAAAACTGTATTTATTACTTAAAATTTATTTAAGTATCTTTTAAGTATCAGCTATTACAGGATCAATACATAATCTCTGAAGGTAGCTTTTTTTTTTTCTGAAGGTAACTTTCTATTCTACAAATCCATTAAAATAATTCTAAAGATTTTATCTTTTTAGAAATGGAAAACAAGTTACCATTTAATCTCAACAACAAAGGACATATAGTTATATGTGCTAATAACTTACACATTCTGGAACTTTCAAGCCTCTTACAGTCACATACAACGTTGATGGATAATGATTTCTTGGACATTTTGACCACCATTCAAAAACCTCAACGACATTTACTTGAGATCGAGGCTTACTAGGTGGGTAATACAGCTGCAAGCGAAGTTTTGAATTGATGTTTACATTTCCATTGGCTCCTAAAAGCTTAAAATAAGAATTCAAATAAAATTTTATCTTCACTGAAAATAAATACATTCAATAAAGCAATAGTATATAGTCAAAAACTCATTTTAAAAAGATCAATATGGCATGCTGAAATTCCTTAGATTACAAAGCAAAAAACATTGACATTGGCTAACCACAGTTCCAACTCACTTTGACAAAAGGTAACCCAAATGACTTTTTAAATATTTTCCTGAAGTTGTCTTTTTGACTATACAACTTTAGATGGTTGGTAAAGCATGTACATTTCTTGCATACAGAAGGTGACCAATATACCTTTGTTTGAGATAATGATGATAAAGATCAAATGCATATTATTTAAACACAGAGACAAACTTTTCATTTGTTTAGTATCAGTATTTTTAATGGTAAAATTTTATGGTTTTAATTTTTGAAAAGTCAAAATCATTTTCAAATAGTAATTAACATGATTAAACATATTCAATCCATTCATTACATTTAAAAAATATTTTAGTCTACCTTCTCAGAAGGTCTATTTAATAAAAAATATTAAATAACTTACGTTTAAGCTAAGTAAATGGAGATTCTTTTGAGGAAAAAAAATCTTATGAAATCAAATTAAAGCAGGTCCTTTTTAAGTAGAAAATGCCTTTGTTAACCTTTGTGGCCCTACAAAGTAGCAGACACAGTTGGGAGCTTTTGTAGCAATTGAGGTAGAACATGAATTGACAACTAAAAGACTAGGAATTGAGTGCAGGAAACAAATTCAGTAACTGTTACTGATGAATGCAGTTTGGAAAGTAAAACAAGGGTAGTCAAGAAAGATTCTAAGGTAGTGCTAACAGAACTTTCTGTGATGATGGCGATGTTCTATATTTGTGCTATACAATACAGTATCCACTTATCACATATGGCTATTGAGCACTTGAGGTGTGGCTAGTGCAACTGTGGAACTGAATTTCTTAATTACATTTAATTTTAATTAATTAATTTGAAGTCAAATAGTCACATGTGACTGTGGCTACCAAAATGCACACTGCAGCTCTATGGCTGTAAACTTGTGAGCCAGGGCTGACGGTGGTGAAACCAACTAGTGTAGCAGACAAAGAAAAGGTAATGATTTAGGATGTTCAGTTTGGGGAGAGTCAGAGATATCTATGGGTCATACAACTTGAAATGTCTGAAATCTTTAGCAGAGGCAAGAAAAATGAGTCTAAGGAAAGTGGATTAAAGATGAAACCCTCAGTAGGATTGATATGAAAAGGGTAAATGGAAAGCCATGAAGGAAACTAAAGGAAATCAGGAAAGAATGATGTCAAGAGAATCAAGATAACAGAGTTTCAAGAGTGATGTATTACATGAGCACAGGTGAGATAAAAGAACTGAAAAAATGTTCAATAATTTGGCAAATCATTAGTGATGTCAGAAAACGCTTTAGTAGCTAAGGCCACTAAACACAGATTTCAGTGTATTCAGAAATAATGAACATCAATAAAGATACAGAGTTGGCAAAAAAAATAGCCCATTTTTCCCTAACCCTTTAGGGAAGGTTGTAAAGTCAATGGAGATCGTAAGCTGAGGGATAATGATATGATACAGAGGGGTAAAGAACACTTTCAAATTGAGTTATAGAAACGTTCAGGCCTTAAACATTAAGCGCACAAGAGTCTCTTCATAGACCCTACTACTATCTGCCTGTAGCTTATCATAAGGGAGTATCATTTTAAGGAGATATTAGTCCCCAGCTTCTAAATCATACTTTCCACAAGTTGTTATAATATTCAGCAGGCAATCTAGTATGCTACTTACTAGAGATCCAGCTAAAATCCTGGCATATAGTTACAAATTACACAGGTGGGGCAAAAGTAGGTTTACAGTGTGAGTACGTGAAACACAGAGTTTATTTTATTATTTATTAATTATTGTATTATTTTAAATATGAACTATAAACCTACTTTTGACCCACTCTGTATAATGTAGAACTTAAATAAATAAGGCTGTATTAGTTTATGGTTTGAAAGGACATACACATATGTGCTAAAAGAACTGAAAGTGCCTCTAGCTGAGAATTATGATAAAGTCTCATTTATATCTGAACAAGGTTCCTCTGGGATTCATATGAACCATTATAATAACTTTACAACTATCTAGGACATTCCTGGAACCAAAGGTATAGGTATTAAAACATTAAAATTTTAATTTGATTCATTCCACTTTCCCAAAGATGGATTTTTTTCTTAGCCACTGTTTCCATACATTTATTAATTCTCTCAATAGATATTCACTGAGCACTTTCTGCACTGGGAGCACTAATATCCTGGGAGCTGATTATATTAGGAATGCAGAGTTTCAAGAGAGTGATATTTTAAATGCAAAGAGATCTGGTAAAATAAAAACTAAAAATGTTCAACAAATTTCCCAAAAAGAAGTCACTGCTGACTTTGAAATAAAAATCCATATGACATGTAAAGGTAAAAATGCTATGAGATACATTATTGTTTCCCAAGTGCAACTTACAGGCAGTACTGAAGTTTTGCACAAACCTTAGCATTAGAAGGAATGAAAGAAGTTTTTAAAAAGACCACAAGGAGGCAATGCTTACTATGTGGAAGTGACCCCTTAGGTTTTTTGTTTTAGCTTTTTTTTTTTTGGTCTAGTTCAGTATAGAGTGTAATGGGTTACAAAAGGGTGATTTTAAAAGGTACACTGGGCCAAGTGATTTTTAAGTCCACTGTAGAATTACTTCCTCCACTGCCCAACCTGGCTGCTATTTCAGTCAGACTGCACCTCTCCTAAAGCCTCTCTCTAACCTCCAACATGGATTAGGTGACTTACCTGGGTTTTCAGAGCATTTACTCTATAGCACAGTAATGCAAGTAGTATGTTTACATAGAAACTGAACTGCAGGGCAAGAATGTTTAATTTATCTATGAACGCCCTGTATTTGGCAGTGCCTGCCATTTCATATACACAAATATTTGTTGAATACATGGATGTAAAAAAGGAAAAGTTTTATAAGATAGTACAAAACAGGTTAATTACTCAAGACTTTTTATAACTTAAATTTATGTTTGAAGTCAGAAATTTAAAAATACCAGAAATAAAAGAATTATAAAATTAAAATTTCCTCTCTTTAATACATTACTCTATCCATGCCTTTTATCTCTGCTGAAATAGTCTAAAGACACCATCATTTTATATAGACTACTGCAACAATTTTCTGCATTGATCTTCACCCTCTCTAATCCATTCTCCACCCAGCAAAGTAACCTTTCTAAACATACATCAGTTTATTTTATCCTTTGTTTAAAATTCTATAAAGCTTCCCATTGTTCTTTAAAATTCTATAATGGCTTTCTGTGGCTATAATGGCCTAGAAGACCTTGTATAATCAAGCCCCTGTCTACCATCAGCAATCTCCTCAGGCACCAATTTCCCCATCAGTCTCTGTCCTTCAATCTCAGTGGCCTCCTTTTGGCTGAGTAAAGCAGGTCTTCAAATAACATTTCGTTAAACATCCTTTTGTTATAACATGGTGAGATGCCATAGAAACTTAACTTTTGTTTATATCAATTAGTCTATAATAAAATAAATTTCGTTACACGTCATTTAGCTTAAATTTGCAGAGCCTACAGACATTGAGGACTTACTGTATACTTTACTACTTACAACATCAGGGTCTTTGAATATACTGTACCCTCTACTTAGACTGTCTTTTCCCCACTGCTACCATCTAGCTACTACGCAGGTTCAATGTCCCTTCTTGAGGTTCTGACTCCACAGGATGTTTTTCATCATTCACCCCATACCTCTTCTCATAGTTAGCATAAAAATAATAAATTTAAAACTGTGTAATCAATTGTTTTATGTCTGTTTTTTTAATTTAAATATATCTTTTTTATTGATTTCAGAGAGAGGAAGGGAAAGGGAGAGAGATAGAAACATCAATGATGAGAGAGTCATTGATTGGCTGCCTCCTGCATGTCCCCTATTGGGGATCGAACCTGCCACCCGGGCATGTGCCCTGACTGGGAATCGAACTGCGATCACCTAGGTCATAGGTGGATGCTCAACTGCTGCAACACGCTGGCTGGGTTTATGACTGTTTTTCTTGCCAGAATATGAGGTCCATGAGGCCAAGGAATCTGTCTTCTTTGTTCAATGACTAGAACAGTGACTGGTGTATAGAAGGGGTTTAATAAATATTTGTTAAGTTGACTAAATGACAGCAGGGCTGTGTGTGTCTTTTTCAATGCTGTACCCTTGGAGCCAAATTGTGTATCTGGCACAAACTAGGCACTCAATAAATGTTTAAGAATCTGAATGAGCATCACCCAAGCTTGAATTAATAACTCTCTACCGCTGCAATCTTACCTTAGATCATAACTCCTTATATGAAATCAAAGTAATTTGGGAAAAAGCAGCCAATCAGATTTGAAGATTATTTTTAAAGTGTTTAAAATGGATGAAAAACATACCTTGAGAAATGCCCAGGCAATTTTCCGAAAGCCACATTCTTGGTTTTGAATTCCAGAGTTATTCCTAATTTCATCCATGCTTAAGAAATCAAGAATCTGTAAATAAATATTTAAAATTTACATCGTAGAATACTAGGCTACCCAAAATTTAATATTTTCTACTAATATATTATGAAAATGAAAAAAATCATGCTTACTTTAAAAGTTTTCCTTATAGTAAGGAAAAAATATTTTTATCTAATTTTATTAACCTTTAAGTTAATTCATACTGTTAGTGAGGGTTCATTTTTTGACCACTTTCTTTTATTAAGATTTATTTCAAATCCAAGACAAAATAATTACCTGAAATACAGTCTAGGCAGAAATACACAAGGCATAGAATACTTAAACTTTGTTCACTTTTTACTGTATGAGAGTGGACTTTGAAGGACTGTTTAAAAGACTCATTGTCTTCTTTATCTCTGGGTTCTTCCTTGGATCATCTTCCTGAAGTTGGTTTTTTTTCTCTTTGTATATAGTTGTAATTAGGCTTCTCAAGAAAATTTCTTACACATCTCCATCTTGTCTGTATGTCAAAGCTCATGGATTTGCAACCAACCTGCCACAGGACTATCTATATCCTAGGTACTTATCAAAGACTATCACTTTGAACTTATTGTATTTATCAAAAGTTCAGATGAGATAACAAATCTTTATAGAATAATGCTTTAAAAAACAATATGGACTCCACTCATCCCTGCTCTTTATATTCTTAAATCCGTCTTCAGATATAATGCATGCTCAATGAAAAATCACTGACAATATAAGAAAAATATATTACAAAGTAAAAACAACCTGTAAACCAGACCCAGGGGTGATCAACATAACATCTACACATTTACAGGTTTACCTGTATCTAAACCTTTTTCTGTGCCTTCCTAAATACTTGTATATTTCTACAAATCCAATGCTATTTCAAAAACTATTTTGATGCGCTTTATAGTGGATATCTCTTCAAGCCAATACATACATATAGATATTTCCATGGTAATGGTTACCTCGTATTCTTCTGCATTGCAAATACCATAAATTTAATTTTAAAAACATAATTTTTTAGCCAAACCTTACTGATTAAAAAGACTTGTCTCTAAAAAATGTTTGCTTAAACAGTGCTTAAGCAAATACCCTTAGGAGAAACACCTGTAAGTGCAATAAATTTTAAAGACTTCTGGTAGATATTATCAAGTTGTCCTTAATAAACCCTTGAAAAGGTGAAATAAAAAATTAGCTTTGTAGACAATAACACATTGTGCTAAAGCTTAAGAAGCAACCAAAAATGTTTATAATCCAACAATCTTTCTTAAATCTCATAACATTAGTAAAGTGAATATAAAAGAATATTATAGGAACAAATTTCTGTAAAAAGGAAAAATTCCTTGACATACAAATTATATCACTTTAAAAAAATCATAGCTTTGCATAAATCATACAACATAATCAGATGTCAATGGTGGAGTATTTGTTTCATCAACACACACAGATCACCTAAAAGTTAAGAATCATAAAACAAGTAATTCTACAAAAATCAATCATTGGTTCTGGTCAGGCCTTGCTCTTCCCATGCTTAAATTCACCTAATTTTTATCTTGCTTAAACTGGAAAACAGGCTTTCTCTACTTCCCTTTGTTTATGGTGAGATTACATGATTAGTTAAAAGAAATGTGGTATTTAGTTTATACTAGCTTCAAATACAAATTACCTGCACTTAAAATTAAAGTAAATGAGATAAATCTCTTTACACTTCAAAAAATCACTTTACACTCCTTGATTTCCTTTGCAGTAAAAAATTAGAAGAGCGTGTCAACTCGAAGGCCATCTACTCCACAAAGCTTTCCCTAATGCTCAGACCCTCCACTAACCTTCACACCTAAGAAGTTCTACTTCATCTGGTTACATAGTACATTGTATTAGTCAAGTGGTCTGTGTATATTCACCTTTATTTCTCTTAGTAGTATACAAATTCTTAGGGATTCTGACATTGTTAAATGAGTTTATACTCTGTGAAATGGGTTAAGAATGGAGGATCACACAGATACAGATTAGATTCAACACTTCAGTTAATAGTCATGACACTATTGTAAGGATTAAACAATAGAGTAAATCCAAAGGATAACTACTTGTAACTAGTAAATGCTCAACGAATATGCTATTACTTGTATCTCTACTGCATATTACAAACATTAAATAATAGAAATTAAATTCTCACATTACTTGGTTGTATACTGAACTACTAAATACAACAGCTTACATTTGTGCTTTGCAATTGCCCCTATCTGTGGGTTCCACATCTGAAGATTCAACTAACTGCAGATGAAAAAACTAAAAAAAAAAAAAATCCCAGAAAGTTCCTAAAAGCAAAGCTTGAATTTGCCATGCACTGAGCACTATGCTGAATCAATGTGAATGAAGTGATGTGTAGACATACCCTGTTGCAGCCTATGTGTAAATATAGTTTATATGCAAATGCTGCACCATTTTATGTAATGGACTTCAGCACCCACAGATGTTGTTATTTGCAGAGGGTCCTGGAACCAATCTCCTGTGGATACCAAGGGACAACTGTAATAACTAAAATTTAGTTTAAATTGCTCTATTCAATTCATACCTCGAAGAACAGGATGACTTTAGGGCTCTCATCAAAATCGCGAAGCAAATAGGGAAAGTTTTCATTAAATATAATTTGTTCTTCCCACTCTGGAAGCCTTGACTTTAACTGTTTAAAATCATATGGCTGGGTCATAATAGGAAGAATATAATCCACATTGTCTTTTTCAAAGTAAGATGAAACAGGTCGTTTACTGTTCAAAAAGAGATATTTCTATTAACACAATTCTTTATAAATTTGAGAATGTGAGAAAAAAAATATGGTATTTAAAGTGAGGCAGCTAGAAATAATGAATAGCCATGATACATAAGAAAAAATTACTTTGTCCATCTAGAATATTATAAATTTTATGAGACTTAAAAGTAGTAGTACTTCATTTTGCATTTACATACTATAGGTTGGTTTCACAGAATTATTTTATTATAGAAATACAAAGTGAGAGGTACGATTATACCTTCAGCATGCAAAGCTTGAATAAACTTCAGAATCTTAAATGAGTTTGTCATAAAATAGTACACTTAAATTAAAAAATACACACAATAGGATTTTAAACCTTTCAAGGTAAATCATTTCTTCTTTGTACGCCCTAAGACAACTGAATAAATGAATGACCTTTTTGATAATCCTCATGTTTCTCATCCTTGCCATCTTTCTAAGAAGATAGCTTTTTAAAATTCATGTATAATCATTTACTTTTTATTTGAGCCTTCAAGAATGTATAGAAGTAATAGTAGGAAAAAAATTAAATTCAAGATTCATTTACTTCACCTGATACCCAGGTAACATATTAATTTCAAAACAAAAATGTGAAGTTAGAAAACTAATGCATTTACAGTGCAACATAAGATGATTTACAATGCTAGTTTAATGCCATAAATTAGTCATTAAGCTTAGGAGAAACTCTCTCAACTCTCCTCCACTTAAAATGAATCACTAAACAGACGCTCTCCATTTCTTCTATAAAACATACTGATCAGTGTCAATTGTTGGTGAACACCTGCAACTAATAAACTATTCTCCAATACAAATTCATAGCCCTACTGGCACTGACTTTCAATGACAGAAAAGAGGACTTCTGCTGTAGACATTTTCAATTCAAGGATTGGCTGTGCAATAAAAAAAAATTACCTATCATCTTTCTTGACATACTGACCAGTAATCTCATCAACCACATGAATTTTTACCATCGGGTGAGAAATCATAAAATCTGACTTAAGTCGATCAGTTCGGTGAATGTAAACTCCCAAGACAAGGTCATCATCAAGCAAACATTTTGGATAAACTAGACCATCTCGACTTGTTATTTCATGAACACCATCATCACCATCAGTGTCTTCATTATTATCTGAAACTACAAGCATGGAAGAAAATCAACATTATAATTAATTGTTCCCACAACAATATACTCAACAATGTAAGTTGAATTTTCATATAATCTAATTTTCATGATTTATAGTTATTTGTCTTTGTTAATAAAGAAACTACAAGGAAAAAGAAAGAAAAAGCCACAGCTTAGGAACAGGACAAATCAGAGATAGAATCTTACCAAAACTACAACACAGCCCTAAGCTAGCTCTATTCCTTACTGGTTGAAATCAGTTGCCTACCCTATCTGTCTAAGAGAACAGAGAGGAAACACTGTCTAGTGGAAGATAAAATAATCTGGAGCCTCTAGGATACTATACACAGTGTACAACATACAATAAAAAAGGCAAGACTATATGACCAATAACCAAGAGAAAAACCAAAACCAGAAAACAGAAGCAGACCCACAGATAATTCAGACTGAATTAGCAAAAAAGGACTTCTAACTTGCAGAAATAATATATACAAAAACATCTTCAGAACTTGGGAGATTTCATAAATCAGAGAAAGCACTTACCATCAAAAGAAAAACATGGATAAAATGAGCTACATAATATTTCAAATGATACCAATATGAGAAAAATAAAACAGTGCAGAGTAGAATAATACTTGCAATATATATGTGTATATATTTATATGTGAGAAAAGACTGATGTCTAGATATATAAAATATTCTCACAAATTAATCTAAAAGACAGACAATTCCATTTCTTTAAAAAATACACTGAAGACTTGAACAAATTTACCAATGAAGAAATCCAAGTAGTTAAACATGAAGAAGATGCTCAACTTCACTAGTTATCATGGAAATCAAATTAAAGTCAAAATGAAATATACACAACTAAAAATGGCTAACATTTCAAAATACTAACAATATAAATGTTAGTGAAGATGTAGAGCAATGGAGGCTCTCAAATACTGCTAGTATCAATTGGTAAACCAACTCTGGAAAAAAGGGGCATACCTATTAAAGTGAAAAATCCACATATTCTATGACATAGTAACTCTACTCCTAAGAATATGCCCAATAAAAATGTACACGTATGCTTGCCAAAAGACATGATGAGAATATTCATTACAGCTTTATTTGTAATCACCTAAAACTAGAAACTCAAATGTCCATCAATACAGTAGGTAAATTAATTGTGGCATATTTATACAATGGACATCTATACAGTACAAAAACAGAACTGATGACGAAGAAGCTTAAATGCATGTAACAATAGTATAAATCTCACAAAAATAATTTTGAGTGAAAAAAGCCATACACAAAAGAACATAGTATTTATGAATCTATTTATATGAAAGTAGAAAAGAAGTCAAAAATAAACTATGTGTTAGATGTTAAGATAGAGTTTACTCCTGAAGGGCAACGAACTAGAAAGGAACTTGAGGGGACTTCTGGGTACTAATGATGTTCTGTTTTTTTATTTGGATGATGATTTTATAGGCATGTTCAGTTTGTGAAAATTACATGGTATACTTCTAATATGTATACTTTTCCAAAATTTAATTGCAGCAACCATAGAACATCAACTGCATAATCCAATGAATAAGTACCACAAATTCTAAAATTGCCCATTTTAGTCCCAATTTTTTGCCAATTAAATAGAAACTGAAAACAAAAAGAAAAAAGGTATAAGAAGAAGGAAAGAGTAAAGAAAAATAAGAGGAAAGATATGAATAAAGAGGAAGATTAAAAGCAAGAGGGGAAAGGAAAAGTGAGGCAGACATGAGCCGACTTAGGCTGAGGAATTGGGAGGCCTCCACGTTTCAGAGGCATGCAGCCTCAGCATCTGAAATGTTTATTGGCTATTTATAGCTTTCAACTACTATGAGTCTAAATTATTTAGGGTTCTAAACTCAGTGGCAGAAAGAAGTCTCCTTTGCTATAATAGCAACTACAAAGTTAACGTTATTCTAGAGTTGAACTAAAATCAAGAATTAGGGGTGATTCAAGTAATACTAACTTATCACAGAGACTCACAGTCACAATTAATTAACTGTTTTAATCTAGATGAATCTAAGAACAAGTACTAAATATTCTATATTGATTTTTTTTTAAATTATATCCTTTGGGACAAAATTTTCTTTAGTTTTAAGAACTGAAAGTCCTAAAATCAAGTTATTTCTACCAAGAAACACATTTTTCATTTAATTTGAACAACAAACCTGCTTTCGGCTTCTTTTTCTTTTTGTTTGGTTTGAATTTTGTGTCATCTTGCATGCTCTCTTCTATGTTTTGTTTCACAGTGGTTATTTCATCATCTTGATGATTCTCTGAAGTAACTGTTCCAACTAGTCTCTCCTCCTTTTGTTCACCTTGAGCTGTGTCATCAAAAGGCAATGCACTGCAAATATAACCCAAGGATACATCATTACCTATATATTATTATTTATAGTGCAGCAAAGTGAACAGTGAATAGAGGCAAGGATAATCCTAAAATCAGTATTACTTCCAGCTAGGAGATATATATGTTTTCTTTTGCACTAAAATGGTTAGCTGTCAAACTCAGCATTACGGGTATTATTTTATAGTTGGTGATGAGTTATATACCCCATGAGTCAAATTAATCTGAGCTCTCAACTCCAGGGAAGAATGAAACTGTATTTTATGAGCAATGGATCTGTTTTTACATAGGACTGATCAAAGCATCCTCACCCTGTTGTCAAGTAAATGATTAATGACCACATTTCTAAATTACTCTCTTTAAAAGCAAAAAGTTTTCTAAGTTTGTTCTGTTTTCAAAAGGCTTCGGATAGTCAACCTTTGATTTCTAGTTAAAAATTAATTGCTTATGTGTTCCAGTTGCTAGTGTGCCACTACATTTTCAGAAGGCTATTAGTAAAATTAAAATTTGCATCATATTAACTAATAAATAGTAAAGAGGTAGCATCCCAGAAGCAAACAGTTGTAGTGAGAAACCAGCAGACTAGCTTCTTTGTAATATATCAAGTAAAAAAAATCTGTAAGTAATCAAAGAGGTTGAGAAATAAAAAAAATTAGAGAAATATTTCAAATTAGTCATTTCAGAAAGCCATGATATTTTATCACATCATCAAATACTACTGCTTAAAGATAACATCCTTTGCATGTCACTGTCATGTAAGCCATGGTTTTATTTAAAATTCATGAACTAAATCTATTTATTTTACTAATTTTAAAAATATTTTGACTCCTAAAGAGAGAGGAAGAGAGGGAGAGAGAGAAACACCAATGTGAGAGCAAACACCAATTGGCTGCCTCCTGTACGCCCCATACTGGGGATCGAACCAGCAACCTCTCAGTGTGCAGGGCAACACCAGCCAGGGTCATGAACTAAATTTATCTAATAGTGAGTACGGATTTCCAATTCATATGGTAGCTATGAAAATAAAATTTATAATATACTGTGGAAACAGCCAATAAGATGGCTCCCAATAACCCCTGCCTCCTAATATTCATAGCTTCGAGTAAGCCTCTTCCCTTGATACTTCTAATAGACAAGAGCATGACAAAAGCAACAGATGCTATGAATAAGATCAGGTTCCAAAAACACTATGAATTCTCTCTCTCTCTTTCAGTCTTCGCTCTGGAGAAGCAAGTGCCCAATCTTTTGAGCAGCCCACATTAATAGGTATGTATAGCAAGGAACTGATATCCCTGGCCAAAAACTAGTCGGGACCTGACGCCTGCCAGCAGTCACATGTGTGAGCTTAGAAGTGGATCTTCCAAGCCTTCCAACAGCAGTGTCACTTGGCAGATCCTCCCCTACCCAGCTAAGTCTTGAGATGACTGCAGCTGAGTCAGAGACACCAGTTAAGCCACACCCAGATTCCTAATTCACAAAAATTATGAGACAATAAATGCTTGATGTTTTAAGCTGCTAAATTCTGGAGTAACAGATATAGCAACAGATAATGCAGCAACAGGTAACTAATAAATATACTAACATGTCCCTGTAGCAACTCTATTTGGCCTCTCTCTGTCACCACTGGTTATGTAGCTTTTGATAAGGGGAATTATTTTCAGACAAGGACATTAGGGAAAATTGCCCCTGCATGCCAGGAAATAGTCACATACTGAATGTTCCCACCTCAAGTTGTTTACCTAAATATGGGTTACAAAAAACAAATCATGGTAGTTAAAGGACATTTTTTTATTTTGTCTTCCCCAAGCAGAGACATATTTATATGAATACAGGCACAGTTCACACTGTATATGCAAGTATACATATATAAGCATCATATACAGATAAAAGAGTAGAATACTAAACAGAACTGCTAATAGTGATCATCTTTCTATGACTGGATTGCTTTTATTTTCTTCTTCTTTTTCTGTACATCCTAAAATGAGCAAATGCTATTTGTATAATAAGGAGAAAATGCTACATTCACATATCCAAATGGGCACTTATAACTCAAAAAAGGGGGAGTAATTCTGTTTCTATTATTTAAAAAGCAGATGTAAGTGAGTAGTTAAGGGTAAAGTCTTTGGAGCAACACTGCCCAGGTCTGGGCTCAGCTTCTTACCGGTTCTGTGACATAAACCCTTTAGCTCTACCATCTACGAAAAATAATATTACTATTCCCCACAGCGTTGTTTTAAGGAATAGATGAGTTAAGCATTTAGCACATACTAATATCAGCTGTTTTAACTGTACTGGCAATGTGTCCAAATGAAAGTCTTAAAAATTTTCTTTGTGAAACTACAGGTGTCACTTAAAAGCTGAAAATAATAGTTTTCTTTAAAGAGAACATTTTATATTTATCAACATGAAGTACCTTGTTTCAGCATTAGACAGGCCTTGAGCTTTCTTTTTTTTCTTTTTCTGTTTTTCACTGCTCAATTTGTCATCATGCAAGTAAGTACCTGAGGGGAAGGAAGCCAGCTGCTCTCTGAGTTTCCTTCTTATCTGCCTCTTAATCTCCTTTGCCATTTCTTCACCTCCCCGGAGCTGGCGCACTTGCTTCAGCTGCTCTTCCTCATCTAAATGATTTCCTTCCTCCTCACTTGCCTTCTCAGGTGGCTGGTGAGCGAAGCCTGGCTGTACCCTCGCCTGTACTTTCTGATGCGAAGGGTCCACCTTCCTCTCGCGAGTTTCCTGTTCCATTTCTTGTGTAGTCACCCGGCACACTGCTTTTGTAACCTTCTTATTTGCCTTTTCTGGCTTATCTTCCTCTACACTCCCATCATCATCTGGATTTTCAGCTGCCAACTGTGGATTACTTGGGTTTTCAATGACTCGCATGCTCTTCTTTGGGTTATTAGTGTGTTGGCAGCAATTACTTTATCACTTTTAGTTTCTTTAATTTTCCAAAGATTGCTTCTAATGGTGTCAAGCTGGGAGAAGACACAATAACAAAGTTTCAGCTAAGCATAGTTTAGTTACATAAAGATAAAACACAATGATGTTCAGCAATGTGTAACACTGCAAAAATTATTTCATTTTTTTACTTGGATAGTGTGATATTCTAGAGCACCTGATACGCACTCTCCTAGTTCATTCTCCCAGCATTAGATTAGTAACCTCTGAGGGTAACTTCCGATAAAATGAGTTAACATGTGAAAAAGTACTCAATGACTTTTAAGAAGTTAATTGCTCAAATTTCAAGTGCTATTTCCTCTTTGGCAGAATGATCCATCCCCTAATGAAGAGACGTTGGTAAATGAGCCACTGAGCTAAAGCACTTCAGATTACCCCATCAGAAAACACACACAGGTCATTTATCTTGCTTCATAATCACATTCTAAAACCAACAGTCTACAGCTCTAGGATCACCCTGCAGTTAGCCCAAATGTATCACTGAAAATACTGCTAAGATTAAATATTACGGAGTTAAATCAAATGACAGACTAAGCACACATCTGTACCTCTCTCCCCAATCAAAATTATTTAAAATAAGAGATATTTTTAATATAAAAAAGGCTAGAAATCTGCCCGGCCAGCATGGCTCAGCGGTTGAGCATCAATCTATGATCCAGGAGATCACAGTTGGATTCCAGGTCAGGGCACATGCCTGGGGTTGCAGGCTGGATCCCTAGTAGGGGGCATGCAGGAGGCAGTCAATTAATGACTCTCTCATCATTGATGCTTCTCTCTCTACCTCTTCCTTCCTCTCTCTGAAATCAATAAAAAGACTTTTTTTTTAAAGACAGTAGAAATCAAAAAGGAATGTTACTAGTAATAAAATAAATATTTTGAGAAATTTCCAAAGCATAAAAAATAGGCAGGATTAAATCTATTAAGAAACTCCCAGAGAAAACCAAAGCCCATAGGGAAAGACTTCTCCAGAGATAAGGGTGCTTCTGGAGAGGCCATACATTCAGAAATACAAAGTTACGGAGGAGATAAGCCTGAGGATTTGGGAGGACAACTCTGTCCCCCACCTGCATTAGTGTTAGATGGAGACTTTCATTCAGAGGATAAAGCAGCTGAGCAGAGAGAGAGATGGCAGCATGCTTCATTCACCAACAGCAGAAGCTGACTAGGTTTAACACAACCAGCAGGCAGGCGAGAGAGATTCTTACTTGGAAAGATGATTAGACAACTAAAAACTAACAAACATGGAAGGAAAGTAGCACAATTAAGAAAAAGTCACCAAATCCAATAAAACAGAAATATTAACAATGAAGGAAAATGAATAGCATAAACAAAGTAAGAATTTAAGATAAATGTGATTAACATCAATAAAAAAAATTCCAAAGCACATTGGATGTAAAAACAAACAAACAAAAACACTGCAGATGTTAGAATTAAATTTTGAGTTATAGAAATAAAAGTTTAAGGTATGTGTTTGAAAAACCAAACAGACAAAACCAAAGTGCTAAAGATGGAAGCCAGTATCAAAATGAAGAATGCTCCCAGAAATGCATGAGCTTATCAATAATAATTGTTCAACTTTTGAAAATCCCCATGTTTAAAAGTAGTTAGAAAATATCTAATATATGTGAAAAGACAGGAAAATGCTAAAAGAACTAGTATTCCAATATACAAGGTAGGGCAAAAGTAGGTTTACAGTTGTTCATATGGAAAATACAATAATTAATAAATAATACAAGAATAAGCTCTGTTTCGAGTACTCCCAATTATAAACCTACTTTTGCCACACCCTGTATATCTATTTTACCATCTCTAAGACTCTTTTGATTACCTAAAATATATTTCCCAATTCTATTGTTCAAGGATGAATTATTAAGCTGAAACCTCAAAAACTTCTTCTCTAATCAAATCTAAGAAAAATAATTCTTCTTTTAAAAGTTTATTTTCACATGTTCTTTTAAAGAAGCAATATATGCTTCAGTTAAAACAGTGAGAAACAAAAAATTTAAAATACAAAACAACAGATAATACAGAGAAAAAGAAGACCCAAAGCTCAACCCTGTTTGCCTCACACAAGGAAAATCATTGCTAATCTTTTTAGAACCTTATTTTTGTCTTTTCTATGAATACAGTCATATCTAATAACCTTGAATTTCCATTATGGTAAAATGGAGCATATGTAAATATTTCTTTCTACTTTCTCAGTGAGTGCCAAAAATGTAGTGGCAATATTATACAAACTGTGAGGAAAGTAATGAAAAAAATAGCTGGAAAAGGACAGCCAAGCATTAGAAATAGAAAAAAAATTATGTTCTAGAAGAAAAGATTTAAAAAATGAAACCCCTGGAAAGTTAATCAGATGAGGTTCAGTTTTTTAATTACTCTCTCCCACTGATGTCTCAACTTTTGTACTAATAACATCATCTTAATTTTATAGTGTGACTTTATATTCCTTATTTATCTGCTTTTGCTTTATTCAATTAATTTTTTAAAACCACTGCAATAAATAGAATTCCCAAAATATCTTTGGTAGCATCCCATATGTTCTGTAGCACTGATACTTACTTTTAAAAAATCCTGTTTTCGTGGTTTTGATTTTTTTTTTTTCTTAATAATAGCTTTACGGGATAGTTTTTAAATTTCCAAATAGTACGTAAATATTTAATTTTGTTACTAATTTCCAGTTCATTGTACTATCATAAACAAAACAAAAAAGGTCTACATTATGGAATTTAAGACTTTCACGGACTATGACTGAATTTTGAAGTGTCCCAAATACATTTTGTTCATGTTCTATTATATCTTTACCCATACTTTTATCTTTACCTTCTGTACATCACTTAGGATTTTGGCTTAATTTTTCTTTTTTTAGTATCAGCTATAGTGAAATATAACTTACAATAAAATTCACCAATTTCAAGTGTATAATTAAATGAATTTTGGCAAATGTTTACAGTTATGTGGCCATCACCATATCCTGATGTTAAACATTTTCATCACCCAACATGATCTTTCACAAAGTTAACTCCTACACCCCGACCCCATGCCCTGACCCCACTAGCCTGCTATTATTATAGTACTGTCTTGTCTAGAATTTCAGTTACGTAAATAAAGTCATCCAGTATATACCCTTTTGTGTCTGGTTTCCTTCACTCAGCATAAAGCTTTGAGATTCATCCGTGTTGTTGCATGTATAGTTTATTCCTCCTTATTGCTGAGCAGTATTCCATTGTGTTGACACATACTGTGTTTTATTTTATACTGGACATCTGAGTTATTTCCAGTTCTGCACTATTATGTTTTCATTTCTCTTTTTATAAAAAAAAATCTTCATTGATTTTTTAAAAAATATATCTTTATTGATTTCAGAGAGAGGAAAGGAGAGGGAGAGAGAGAGACAGAAACATCAATGATGAGACAGTCATTGATCGAGCCCACAACCTGGGCATGTGCCCTGGCCAGGAATCGAACCCCAATCTCCTGGATCCTAGGTCGATGCTCAACCGCTGAGCTATGCCTGGCCGGGCCTCTTTATTGATTTTAGAGAGAAGGAGGGAGAGGGAGAGAGAGAGATAGAAACATCATAGATGAGAGAGTCGTCACTGATTGGCTGCCTCGTGCTCCCCAGACTGGGGCATGGAGTCTACAAACCTGGCATGTGCCCTGACCGGGAATCAAGCCTTGATCTCCTGGATCCTAGGTCAATGCTCAACCATTGAGCCATGCCTGGCCCAGCTCTTTTCATTTCTCTTGGTAAATACCCAAAAGTAGAAATGCTGAGCTATATGGTAAATAGATATTTAACTTAACTAACTGCCAAACTGCTTCCCAAAGTCGCTATACCATTTTGCATTCCCAAATGTATGAGTTCTAGTTTTAACACCCCTGTGAGCACTTAGCATTGTCAATTTTCATTTTTCAGTTGTTTTAATAAGTGTATGATGGTATCTCACTACTGTTTTAAATATCACTTCCCTAATTGCTAATGATATTAATCTTTACATGGGTTATTTGCTACCTGCATCTCCTTTTTGGATGTGTTCAAATCTCTTGCCCATTTTCATTGGGTTATTTTCACATCACTGAGTTCTTAGAGCCCTTAAATGTGCGGAACTCTTGCTTTTGTATCATTACATATACACCTCTCTCTCTTGAGAAATGCCCTTCCTCCCTTGTCCCTCTAACAAATGTCTAAGTATCCTTTTACATTAAATGCAATTGGTATCTCCTACAGAGAGCACTCTAATTTTGAGGGGCAGTTAAATACTTCTCTGTGCTCCCACAGTGCCTTGATCTTCATACCTTCCTCCAGCTGGTAAAATGTTCTGTGACCCCCACTGAACTGCTAGCTTTTTGGAGGGCTAAGCCTATGTTCTCTTCATCTATGAATTCCCACTTTAAAAAGAGGGGAGGTGTCAGTAAGAATGGTTCCAGGGTCAAAGACTCAGGCTTATACTCTTGTTCTGCCACTTACAGAACTCATGCCTTGGGCAAGCTACTTAATATCACTAAAGCTAGTTTCTTGAGGGGTTTTTGCCTGAGAAATTAAAATGGCGCCTACTGTATTGTAAGGAGAAAAGGAAATACTGAAAAGCAAAGAGATCAGCACAGTAGCTGGCACACTGTAAGTGCTCAAGAAAATTACTTTATGTCCATTACTACAGTGTTAAAGACAGTTAAAATACATTAAGTAGCCCGGCCGGGCGTGGCTCAGCAGTTGACCACTGACCTAGGATCCAGGCGACTGGGGTTCGATTCCAGTCAGGGCACATGCCCGGGTTGTGGGCTCAATCCCCAGTCGGGGGGCGTGCAGGAGGCAGCCGATCAATGACTCTCTCATCATTGATGTTTCTCTCTCTCTCTCTCCCTTCCTCTCTCTGAAATCAATAAAAGGTATATTAAAAAAAATACATTAATTATGCATTTACATTTGCTATTTAGTATTTTAATGCACAACTAGTAAACACTAGTTAACAATACAGCAAATACATTACCGAAACAGTCATCTCTAAATGTTAACATATACTACATTATGTTAGCAAATACATTATAGAATGACCAATATTTGGTTAGTAACCTCACATATGCCATTATTTTAAATCTTCTCCCGCATAACCCCTTTCACAGGTGCTGTTAGGAGATACTATATAGGAAAATTAACTGCATTCCGTTTCATCTCACTTTACTTTTTCTCTAACCACCTGATTATCAGCCAATACATGACTAAAGATCAAGGGGAGAGAAAGCTGTGAGGTTTGGATAACTCTTTAACAGAATTTTACAGCACAGGGAAAAAAGAAACAAGAACCCTTCATACAAAAATTCAAGTAATAAATCAAAGACAGTCTACATAAATAACCAAGATTCTAAATGTGGTTAAAAATACTCTTGGTATTAGAATCTATTTCAAATATTTAAAAAATTTTCCCCATAGTTAAAAATATATAACCTTCTTCTTGAAAGCCCAAGTAGTGACAGCAATCATTAATGCAACAGGTGGAAAAATTGTCAGTATCCTTTCCTAAAGGAAAAAAAAAGCCATATACTTCAATCAGCAGATGTTTCACAGTTATAGACTCTTAAATAGTCTACTTTTTTTCCTATATTTATAATATCGAAAAGACCCTACCAACGCCATTCGACTTTTTTCTTAATAAAACACCTCCCCGGATCCGAGGAGCCCAGGGCAGGAAGGAGCGGAAAAGTAGGTCTAGTTTCCCAAAACCACGTCC